AGACTTGACAGAAAAACAATCCTATATTTCTTCCAATCTTCTTATATGATTCATTAAATCTACTTCCACAATGCACTCTTAGGATTTAATATGGACAGATAAATGCAATCGTGCTATACACGCTTGAATGCTTGGAAATTGTGTGAGTAACTCTATGGTGTCATTTTGACCTTGTTTGCAATATACCTATCCACAAACTGACAAGCACTTCTGGTGCCTTATAAGAACAGAAAATTGGACACAAAACTGAAGATGTAGAGATTGAATGGCACTGATCTAGTTCCAGTTCCAAATGATTAGGCCCAATTTACACACGTTTATGATATATCATATAGTCAATAAATTACCTGTAAAAGTCATGTCACCACAAGTTTTATTAAAATTGTAGGTAACTGTACAACCATCTCAAATGATACAGTAACCACTGGAGACCAATTTTGAGTTTCTTATTAAAGTCTTTTGAGTATTTAACATCTTTTGCAGGTCTCACAATATATGTTATCCATCTCATAACAACTGTTAAAGAGGAGTTTCCATACACTGAAAAGTGATTTAATAAGCAATGGAAAATGATGAAAATATTCCACATATCACTGTGTTCTTTAGATAAAATGTGGTGTGATTACACCTTGTAAAACATGGTATCAGACTGCTACAGGTGTCCTCCAAGAAATAAAACATAACAACTGCTCAACTATATATGTATAAAAATGTAACAAGATCATAACTTTAATACACTGTACATTTGCACTTCTTGTACTGTGTATTCTTAAATGATTGAAAGAGTAAATATAGAAATTTTTGGATGTACACAATCTATAAAAGTACTGCATGTTTACTCATTCTGCAAGTGCAGATTTTCAATTTGCAAAGGACCAAAATGTAAAGAGAAACAAGGGTTTCAAGAATTGCTTTTGAAATCTCGAGCAAACAACTTTCACATTTTTGTTGCATGCATGCACTGTTGATTCAAAAAGTTGACTTTTGAAATAGATTTTAATATAACTGAATTTTAAAGAACTATATGTAAGAATTTTCTGCTTTGACGTATATATGGTTCTTTTACATTTTACTTGACCATTATACAAATGTTTTTTTCATGTTCTCAATTTGTTACAATCAAAAGCATTGCATTTAATATTTGCATGTTTACAACCTCAGGGGTTTTTAACCCCTTTTTTAGTGTATTCTTTTATACTAGCAAAATCGAAATGTTGCAGCATACCTTATACATATAGAAAGAAAACCTCATCTGGAAAAAACACTACAGCAATGCTGCAAATCAGCTTCCAGTAAATCAGTAAACTAGCAAGATGGTTTCTGCTCTCCTTACTGCAAACTCTTCCATTTGATTCAGTGAATCTCAAAGAAAATTCCATAGCTATTCCAGCATTCTGTATGTCATAAATGAAGGACTGCCTGTGTGGAGTCAGGAAGATCCCTGTTGCTGCTGCAGTAGCACCTGAAGTTTCTCTAGGTGTTCTCTACACTGTAAATGGTAGGTAGTCAGAGAGTGATTTTCTTCAGCAAGCTGCTGGTATTCCTGTGTTAGGTGTGTAGCATTCAGTTGATCCTTGTCATCTTGATCAAGTTCTGCAATCAGCTGTTTTCTGACAAAAAGCAGAAATATGAATACTGGAAAATACACACTTTCTAACAATTTATGCAATAGGTCACAATTGTTTGATTCTTCTCACTGTTTTGTGTTTTACTATAAAATATGATCATACTAATTGGTATTTTTTCATAGACACTAGCAGGTAATACTACCACGCACATTCAAATTGCTGCTGACTGTCCAAATAAAAACTTGGGCTGGTAGTTGGACATAGTTGTGATTGATAACTTCTTGCTGCTATTCACCAGGAAACATAAACAAAGACACCCAAAGTATACCCTTTTGCCAAACTTGTAATAGAATATGATATATTGCATAGGATTGTACCCAATTAATTTGTTTAAATGATAAATAGAAACAGAAAATGCGGAAATACTCAGCAAGTCAGGCAATCTCAAAAGAAAGAGAAAGGTTTAACAAAAACGGTGGGACATGCGTTATGATGAAAGGTAATCAACTTAAGGTGTTAACTTTATTTCTGGCTTCACTTATGCTACCTGACGTTCTGAACATTTTCCATGTTTTCTGTATTTATTGTAGATATCCAGCATTCCACTATTTTGCTTTTATTCGAATATTAACCCACTGGACAAATGAAAGCTTTATAATTTTCATAAATTCCAGTTTTGTGACCCATTAGAAAAGTTGAAACATTCTCTTAAGAGACCAGCTTCAGAAGACCACATAGCACCTCCAATAGTGGGACAATGAGGAGTCATTTAACAAGTTACAGTTTGGATCCAAGTATTAACTACCAGAAAGAAGGGCCTTAAATACTGGCGACTAAAGTTCAATCAACAATTTTACATGTGCCCCTTCTTATAAGCTTAATGATCCAGGAGAAATGGTAAGTTCCCAAGGACTACTCTCACCCTGCAGCTCACAAGCTGTTGAGTCACTATGGAAAACCACTGAAATAGAAAGGTGATACATAAAAGTTGACTTTTCTTTAATATGTTAAAGAAAGAAGCATTTGCATTTATATATCATGTTATCCTACCTTCAGGACATCACAACGTATTTTATATAAACATATAGATTAGGAACATGAGTAGGCCATTTATTCCCCCAGCCTGCTACTTTCAAAAAGATCATGGTCGATCTGATTAACCCTGATAACTATTGACTCCCTTGTTAGTCCAGAATTATCCACCTCTATCTGGGAAAGAGAGTTCCAAAGACTCCGGATTCACTGAGAGTAAACATAATTCTCCATATGTATATTTTAAATGGGAGACCCCTTTAACCAGCATCCTTCAGTTCTAATTCTTCCATAATGGGAACTATTCTTCCATTATCCACTCTGTCAAGTCCCCTCAGGATCTTATATATTTCAGCGGGATCATCTCTTATTCTTTAACCTCGAATGAATATGAGCAAACTCCATGCTGCTGCAATCTGAAAAGCGTGTCACAATCAGTCCTGTGGCTCCATAGGGCCCAGTCCAGGGGATAGTGCTGCCTTTGCCGTGACAGTGTAGTTCACCAAGTTAGTCTGATTGGTCTCCTCTATGTATATGGAGGAATTTAAACTAGTTCTGCAAATTGTTAGTGTAATAGGAACACAGCAAATTTTAGTAAAGAAAACAGGGCAGAGAGAATTCAGCCATGTTGAGTTCCGAAGCTGGATGGCCTCTACTTTAATGCTAGGAGTATTATAAGTAAGATACGTGAGTTCAGGGTGTGATTGCAATGTTGTTGTCATCACAGAGTCGGGGTTGAGGGATGGGGCAGGACTGATAACTCAACATTCTGGGGTATAGGACTGGGATTGCAGAGCGCATGTTTGTGCACGTCTCTCTCGCAGATTTCATGTTAGAAATTCCTCCATAAAACTCGAAACAACTCTGACTTAGCCAAAAAATTTATGATACAGCCCATGGCTACTATGATCGTGAGGAAAATCTAGATGGAAGGTCTATATCTGTTAAACTCCAGGGCTATTCTTCCACACCAAATCTGAGTAATATCACATTTGACAGTGTTAAATGCAGTCCTCAGCATTGACTCTTTCAGAACCCAACACCTTATATAAGGCATACAAACTAGCCTTTTTGAGATTCATGTACCAGGGCACCCAGATCCCTCTGCACTGCAGAGTTTTGCAATCTTTCTCTATTTAAATAATATGCTGCTTCTCTATCTTCCTACCAAAATAGACAACTTCACATTTGCTGTATTATTCTTCATCTCCCAATTTATACCGACTCATTTAACTTCACAATCAATGGGGTTGCTCTTAAAATGGTTTTTTTTTTATATAGGCAAACTGAAAGGTCTTTTTTTAACATAGCTAGGTCCTATGTATAGCAAGTTAATGATTCATCAAGTGATCTGTGTTTGATTAATGGAGGAATGTTGACATTCACATCAGGAAAACATTGTTATATTCTTCAAATTAAGAGTAGAACCTTTTACATCCAGTTGGGCAGGCAAACAGAGCCTTTAGTTTATATCCCATTTGTAAGACAGCACTTCCAAGAATTTAGCTTTCTCTTCGAACTGTGGTGAAGTGTGAGTCTAATTTGAGGGCCCCGAATCCATTTTATTATTAAATATGTGCATTTGCCATAAATACATTTACCTTAATAATTCTTAGCACACTAAGTCCAGTCTGTCACTCTATTTGTGTTATGAATTAAATTCACATAACTATGGCTTGGTCATTACTAAGGAATATGCATATTATAGTGTAGGTAACATTTTATAACTAGAATAAAATGGTTTGTACTGCAGCATTGTAAGTATTTTGAGGTTCTAAAAGTAAATTCATATAGGGGAAAAGATGAGTATTAAATAATGTGGAAAATCAAGCATCTTTATGTAAACTCCCAGATTAAAAGGGTCAAAGTTAAGTGTTCAGACGGTGTATTTATCTTGTTGTTACAAAGGACTGAAATGGTCACCAAATCTCTGAGAAGGAAGAATTTTTGTTACTTGTTTTCCGATTGATGCCCTTGAAAATCCCACTGTTGTACATTATGGTAAATATTTGTCCTGTTAGATAAGTCTGCAAGTACTGAGTCATGCTGCTTCATTCATTTTTCTGTCTGTCTGTGCAGATAAATGCATTAGCTGTTGCAAGGTTTGGCGTTCAACAATTATTTGAAGTGTTCCGTTCAGAGTTTTGTACATTCAAACACTAAACACTTGGTTAATAATAAAATTATAGTAGCTCACAGAACACAAGGTAATTCAGGAGCACAGTTAACACACTTGCAATTTAATACTTTCAAACTTTGATGAGTTGCTCAAGAACAAGATTGGTAATGATAAGAATGTCTCCATTTATTCATAATCATATTTAAACACTGACTTCTCTGTTAAGACATATACAACTGATATAAATTGTCACTGATACCCAAAAATCTATTTTAATACAGGATAAGGTGCTTCAAAAGATCCTCCTGCTCCTTGGGCTCAGAGTGTGAATCCAGCCGGAATTAATAAGACGGAAATTTACCACTCTACCGGTTGTAAAAAGCTTGTGGCAGATTTGAGTCTATAGCACAAAACTATCGCAACTTTCATACTTACGCTGCCACTCATGGAGAAAAGTGCCAGGAGGAGGCTGGTAGAAGAAATGAATGGATCCCAAATGACGAAGCAATGGCGATTTTCAGAATTGGAAGTAAAGTCACACCTATGGGACTGTTTGGAAGCAATTTCATTTTGCAACCAACTCGTGTTTCTCACATGGAAATGCTAATACTGGATGTCAAATGTTGCAAGGTGATTCCAATTCTCACTCAACTCTTCCACGTCGATACGTAACAGTATTTGCCCAAAGGTCTTGAAAAAAATCACCCAAGGTAATAAAAGGTGAGCATTTAAGTTACTGAGCAATCAAGTCTGGATGATCTGGAGTAAATATCAACAAACCCTGAGGTGGTATTCCAGTCATAATATACTGGTAATTCAACGCCTTCCCTCCATTTATATGGAATGAAAATATTACTTAGAAGACAATCAATTACAAAAGGCTTTCACTGTATGACAGCTGACACTGAGTAAACTATTGCAAGTGAAGTATTGGATAAGAAATTTGATCATGACCCAAATAACTTTGTTATGCGGAACAGATAGTTGGAATGACCATTCAACAAGTGCATATACATGGCTTCAAGACTAGTACATTACTTAAATATTGCTGTTTAATATATTTTTTCTAACCTACATACTTGTAAAACATGTATTTCAACTGAATTCATTGAAATCAGTTGAGAATTTTTCTGCATAAGACCTAACATGGTGAGTAACAATTATTACTTAGCCACAGATTCTGCAAAACAGCACAGGCAAGATTGTGGCTAGATTAGATATGTACTTCATGCAATGTAAACTGCAATTTTGACCCAGATTAAAAAAAAAATGCAAGATCATCTTGCCCTAGGGAACTCAAAAGTAATATCGGGATGAACCTAATGATGTTTTGGCTCGGTTTGAGTTCGATTACGTTTTATGGAGGGCTTTTTGCATGAGGCCAAGCAAATTCTCTTGTTTATCTGACCAAATGTGCCACATTAATTATTACCACACCCTTATGGTGGTTCTGACATCCAGTACCGGCCCCATCTTATCAGATGCTGTTCCCAGAACAAATTGGCACTCAGCAGATATCAAGGAATTACCGGCACATCTTGTACCTGCACCATCTATAAAGGCCTCGGAGATAGCAAGAACTGCAGATGCTGGAGTCAGAGGCAACACAGTGTGGAGCTGGAGGAATACAGCAGGCCAGGCAGCATCAGAGGAGCAGGAAAGTTGACGTTTCGGGTCCGCACCTTTCTTCATTTCTGAAGACCTGAAACGTCAGCTTTCCTACTCCTCTGATGCTGCCTGACCTGCTGTGTTCCTCCAGCTCCACACTGTGTTATCTTTAAAAACCTGTTGTGCACCCGGACAAGCACTGTGTGTCTGGAGCTGCCGCTGCATAGTCCCTGACATTTGCCTTGGATATGGCAGACAGGGGAAGATTGGTTCCCCACTTTGCTGGTAGTGTCCTGAAGATCCTGCTGGATGGGATGGTTCACAATTGGGACTTCCTCTTCCCCAGGATCAGCAGTGAGGCCACAACACCGGACTATGTCAGGCTGGCCCTAGGTCACCATCCAGGATAAAACATACTCAGCTGTCTGGAGGAATGACTAGCGCTATAGGAAGAAAGTCAATAATTCTGTCCACTGTGTATGTGCATCCAACTTCTCTCCAAAACCTCACACTTGCTCTATCCCTGCTCCTGTACCCACCTCCCACCAAGGCTCATACACTACCACTCTCACTATTGCCTGAAACACTTTCCCTCACTTGACTGTCACTCACTTCAATCCCTGCCACCATTAACCCTGCACCACCTCTATGCTGCCTATCCCTTCTTGGAATGCCTCCCCAACTACACCAGTTTTAACAGTTGTGCCTCCCATTTTCAACTCCCTCAATAGCTGCCGCTCTCTCATTGCTGGAAGAAACCATCCTCCAATAGGGCAGAAAAATGCAGGACAAGTGGTGGATTGTTCGACATTCAGCTCCTCTCCCCTTATGAGGAAAGCATCCTGACTCTGACTGCCTCGAGTGACTAGTCGACCAGTGCCAAGCCCCTGGAGTGGAATTGGAAACTGCCCTTGACTTACTGCACTGGGATCCCCCGAGCAAAGGTCATCTTCTTGACATGACTGAAACCTGCTAACAACTATGACAAGTTTCCTTCCTTTGTGTCTGCCCTTATCAGCAAGGTAAGACAGAAGTAATATGAGTCTGGTATCTGTGGCTGAGGAGCAAGGCATGACAAGGCAATGCAAGGCAGGGATACAGTGAGTATCGAGGTACTGTGAGTGAGTGCTGTGGCAGCAAGTGAAGAGCACAGAGATGCAGCCTGAGCTGGAAGTGTGTTGCTCAGTGCACAGTGTCCTTGCTGCAGCATTACAATGATAGCTGCTGGTGCAGCCTGAGATGCATCATTGAAGTGCAAACCATGCTGTAAGTAGATTAGAGATATGCCATGAGAATTCTAGAGGCTGGCACATATCGGATGCCAATGTCCATTGGTGTGGGATCCATGTGGCTTGTGCCCACGGCTGTGTGCCAAAAGATGTTCATGCCTGGTGCTCCAATCCAAAAATCACTCCAAGTAAGAATCAAACAGGTACCTACTCTGGTTTCCATATTGAGTTTCCACAACTTCTAACTTCTTTAATTAGTTTGGGAAGGTAGCAAACTGAATATTAATGAGGCGAGTTAGTCCATCAACCAGGTGTTTAACAGAAATAATGTCCCTTAATTGGTAACTCACTGCTGCCTAGAGAGAAAGCTGCCACGCTGCTTGTGAAAAGCATAAAGGTTGGCACAAGTTTCTCCCAAAGTCGATAAGGCCTTCGCCAGACTTCTCATCTGATTCTGCCACATTTCGCTATAGCCCATGTCGCTCAGACCCCTTATGAGACTCCACCAATGTTTCAAATATTAAAGACACACAAATTGTTAGTTTTCAAAGCCCTCCTTTTCATGTTTCCTTGGAGCATATATCATTAAAATCAAGAGATTAGATGAATTATCTGCACCCAGTGATAAATATTCCTGTCAATATAATCATTAGGTGAATGTTGGAACAGGCTTAGGTGATGTTCTATTCAACCTTAACCTTCCTTTTTCTGAAAGACATGGATTTTGCTGTGCGCATCCACACAGTAGGACTGCTGCGTTGAAAATCTCGCTTTCCTCTCTGTTTTCAAAATCTACTCAAACGTTTCTCTCAAAACAACCTTCTTCAGTTTTGTCTTCTTGTCGTTGAATAGTAGGAGTGTTTACAACAAAGAAGGATACCATTCAGACCATTCAGGCTTTTTTCTGATGAAGGGTCTAGGCCCGAAACGTCAGCCTCTCTGCTCCTATGATGCTGCTTGGCCTGCTGTGTTCATCCAGCCCTGCACCTTGTTGTCTCGGATTCTCCAGCATCTGCAGTTCCTACTATCTCTGATACCATTCAGACCATTGTGTCTGTACCAGCTCTCTGTTTGAGATACTCAGCTAATCCCACACCCCCGTATTTTCCCTGCAATTTGTTTTCTTTACATAATTACCAAATTTCCAATTGAAAGCCTCAGTTGAATGTGCCTCTACCACTACTCAATGCTTACTGTTTTATTTCTCACCACACTATTCTTCCAGACACCATTCTCTGAATAAAAAGCATTCATGAAATAGAACTTGCTGTTGTGTTGTACATCCAAACAACACCTATGTAAATGCATGTGAAGGCAAATTATTTACATGGGAAGAAAGCATGAGGTCATGCACCTTGGTAGGAAGAATAGAGGAATGGACTATTTTCTAGTGGAGAGGAAATTCAGAAATCTGAAGTGCAAAGCAACTTGGGAGTTCTAGCCCAGGATTCTCTCAAGGTAAACTTGCAGGTTGAGTCAGTAGATAGGAAGTAAAATACAATGTTGGCATTTATTTAGAGGACTAGAATATAAAAGCAGGGATGTACTTCTGAGGCTTTATAAAGCTCTGGTCAGACCACATTTACAGTATTGTGAGCAATTTGGGGCCCCATACCTCAGGAAGGATTTACTGGCCCTGGAGCAGGTCCAGAGGATGTTCACGAGAATCCCAGGAATGAAAGGCTTGAGATATGAGGAAGGTTTAAGGATATTGGGTCTATACTCGATGGAGTTTAGAAGGATGAGGGGGGGAATCTAACTGAAACTTACAGAATACTGAATGGCCTGGACAGAGTGGATGTTGGGAAGATATTTCCATTGGTAGCAGAGACTCGGATCCGAGGGCTCAGCCTTAGAGTAAAGGGAAGACCCTTTAGAATGGAGATAAGGAAAACCTTCTTCAGCCAGAGAGTGGTGAATCTATGGAATTCACTGCCGCAGATCATTAGGCTAGGTCATTAAGTATATTTAAGACAAAGATAGATAGGTTCTTGATTGTCAAGGGGATCAAGGGTTATGGGAGAATGCAGTTGAGAAACTTATCAGCCATGACTGAATGGCGGAGCAGACTCGATGGGCTGAATGGCCTATATTTTGCTCCTATGTCTTATGGTCTTATGGTCTTATTTTCTTTATTATGAAACCAATGATTGGCATAATTATACTTAAAGGAATAAGACATTCCTTTATTTTGTTTTCTATCACTCAGCTGCATTATTGTTAAAAATCTCACACAGGTAATCCCCAGCAACAATCCTCATGCAGGTTTTACAGTTCAGCTAAGGTAAAAATCTAATTTGTTTAATATCAGTGTCAGGCTCAGTCAGTTCTGATTCTGAAGGAATTAGGATCTCGCTGCCACGCAAAGATGTTAACCATTAAAGAGGAACCATATTCTATTAGAAAGTACTTACGATACAAAACACTTCCCCCTTGTACACTTGCATAATTCTGTTAAAAAGTTCTAATGATAGGAGAATTATAACTTTGATGTTGTATGGCAGTCTCAAAACATTAATGATTGTTCTCTGGTCTAAACAAAACCCACCTTCAAGTGCATTTTTGTAGGTGTTACCAGTACATGGACACAGAGTAAGGTAATTTCTTAAAAGCTCAAGATTTAAAGCATTACAGGGTAGACTTTCTGAACCCAGTCCCCAGTGGTGAACAGACAATGTTAAGAAGAGGTGATCTAGAGTAGTTGACACAGCACAATGGTACTCTGCCAGATCACTGTGTCAGCTGCAGTTCTAAGACTTTTATCCAGTCTTTATTTAAATGCAGGAAATTGGGCAGGCTCCCTTATGTGGGACAATTCTCCTCATTTGCTTTTCAATTGTGTATTGGCAACTATTTCCACTTCAAAGATAAATGGAAGATTTGTGCCTCAGTATCTGCTTTACATTTTATAAACTTCTAAGTATCCCATTCAATAACAGAACAGATCAGCTGAAAACCAGACATGTAGGGAACTTCATGAGAGTTTTGTTTTAAGATGGAACTTTAGTTAGTGAGTTTTATTTTGCATTTGCCCTATCCCAGCATCTGGTTGCATTGATGCTTGTATTAGAAACATAAAAAGTCACATTGCCAATGGGTTGAATGGCCTCCTCAATGCTGTATTATTCCATGATTTCATTCTCAAGTAATGACAGATGCACACGTTCATTCTAAGTTTTTAAAAATAAACAAAATTAGAAGGACATTTAGAAGAATTTTGATTTTCATCAACTGCCTGGTTTCAAAAAGGGCCCTGATGAAGAGACTTCCTCTTTATTAAAATTATATATTTTTACAATGTTTGTTTCAGTTCAGCTCTGGGAAACAGTCAGTCTCTGTATCACAATCCTTTTTTTCACAATATGCTGTCTGTCTAAGCTCATGTCTGAAACAGCCCAACAAGTACAAGTTCAATTACCATTCAGAAATGATGTCAGGAACATGGATGGGGCAGTGTCCAGATCAGTTTTAGGATCATATGCGCTACTTCCACTGTCTCAAACTCTCTGATCTGCTCATTTATCAGTCTTCAAACTTAATGACATTTTGTCCTGACATATCATATTTCAAGACAAGAGGTTTTACTTCACAAGTATTATAAGGTTAGTCTATGGTTTCTCATCACATATGTTAAGTGTATAAGATCTTCATGTTTCTATGAAGATAATTTTAATATAGTGTAAGGAATGGCTAAGGAATGGTCACAATGCCACAGAGTTAACAATGCATATCTCAAAAACTGTAACAAAAAATGCACAAACTATGTTTCTCCCACCATCTGCAGCTGTACTGAACTCCAAATTAGAAGCTAAACTTCAACAGAATAAAATTCCAAATCTCTAAAACACAAAGGTAGCATTACTGAAACAGTCAAAATTGTGTAAAAAAAACTGTTACTCTCACTATTACAAAATTGTTGGAATTGACGAAATACCTTAATATTTTTGAGGTCTGAATCCATCCTCTGCCACTGAAATTCAGTTTGGACTAGGAAAGCATTTGTTCCATAAAGAATTTATTTAATAATGTTTGGCAACATTTCAAAATGTAGGTCATGAAATCTGATGATGACACACCCGCTTTCAGGCATGAAACAGAAATTTAAGCCTCTGTTATGGCCAGAATGAAGCAGACATATTTACGGGCTGCAAATGTCCTATGCCATATTTGTATAATCAGTATTATTCCATTTTGGCACAAATATAACCATCTTGCACCTGTACAGGAGTGATGCAGTTGGTGGAGGCTTATTACTGTTTGACATCCACTGTACAAATTTGGATGCTGGTGCGTGCTGCAGATCATCACTAACAAGGTAAGTATGGAAACAATAATTGCTGAATGCAGAGCCAGGAGGAGTAGGCAAGGTCCTCTCAATCCCTCTAAAACCATTGGGCATGGCCTCAGTTTGCTGACTATGATAAATGTATTCTTGGAGGTGTCATCACATGACCTTCTCCATACCCTCCAGCTACTGATCAGCCAAAGCATTCATCCTTCTGACACATTCTCTTCCTACAACAAATGAGAAGCAAAAAGACACAGTACCAAATTCGATGATGCTGGACTGCAAGCCAATTTTTTTATTGTTCCTATTTCAATATTTCTACATCTGGCAAAGCAAGCCTTCTAAAGAAATGGAAGAAAATATCCTTTCAATGTCATTGTGATTTTTCTGTGGAACTGCACACAGCAGTGTCTTGGAGATTGATCCTTAATTCCGTGAAAGTCCAGGCCAACTCTACGACTTGATAATGCTGACACTATCTTTTCTCCTCCCCACAGAATGACCACCTTGACGTCTCATTTAAATGTCTGAATCATCCTTAACTCTCTTTCCCACGACCATTTATCCTACATTTTACTTTGGCTATTCTCTGAGATTCATTAGTAAACTGTCTGGAGATGTCTAGAATATGTCCACAGTTCATTTAAATTTTGTATGAATTCTAATATTGTGTGCTCCTCAGTTCTACTTCTAAGTGCAAGGACTGCTCTTTCTGTCCATAGGTCAGTGCAAACAAAGTTGTAAGCTATAGCTTCTTATCTTCATCTGAATGAATGGCATCCACAGATTATTCACTGTAGTGAATAGTATCCCTTTAAATATAACCAGAAAAACATAGAGGAAGCAAGTGCACATGTTTCAAGGGTCCGACTGGTTGCAGACTGTTACGTCACATGGAGCTTACCATTGTATCATACTGATAGCCTGCAACCCAGTGATCTGTGCACATAAAGTTGCAAACTAAATAAAAACCAAAAGAACTGCGGATGCTGTAAATCAGAAACAAAAACAGAAGTTGCTGGAAAAGCTCAGCAGGTCTGGGTGGTCAGTGAAGAGAAATCAAGGTTAACGTTTCAGGTCTGGTGACCCTTCCTCAGAACATATAGTTGCAATTCTAGTTTACAACTAGTGATTCATGTTCACATGACTGCAATTCTCATCTCATAACTGTAGTAATTATAACGAGGTCAGTCAAGGGGACCTCGTAGTTTAAGTTCCCTGATTGAGGCTGTTAGCCTGGTCTAATCAGGGAGCCCTGGATGACAGATATAAACTGGAATGTCCGAGCTTCTGTTCACTCAGAGTTGGCTCTGAGGAAGGCGGACCACTGTCAAGTACTATGCATGTGTAAACAAAGGGTGACTTGGTGGCCGGATACTGGCCTCTGTGGAATTATTTCATTGACCAGTGATTCAAGCTCACATTATGACAATCCTAGTTAAATGACCCGATGAGCCATGTATATATATATGTATATATATATATATATACATATATGTATATATATACATATGGTTGAAATCCTGAACTAGTAGCTCTACTCCAGATGGATAACAAGTGACATTTGCAACATTCATTGGCTATTGTCAGATGGAGAACAACCATCTGCTTGAGAACAAAGAGACCTCTGCCACCTTTGGAACTGTATTTCATTATTAAAAGTATGTTCAAGAAACGAGGAAAGAATGTGTGAAATAAAAAAGTACTGTCAGTAATAGAAAGCACTTCAATAGCTCATTATTATTCTGTTCATCATGAACACAAGGATAAAATCAGGGACTGTTGCTCTGTTTCCTACTCATTCTTTGTTGGCACACTCAAAATGTTTCTTCCTATATATTTCCCTTCCTTGTCTAATCTACAATTTCATCCCATCTAACTTCGATATCACCAAACCAGCAGCTTGTGGACTTACTATGTCTCCTCCTCAATTTATTTCAACTTTGATACTGCTTCTTTTTCAGGCCTTCAGTATGAGGTTGTCAACAGAAAGCCACAGAACTTCCCTAGTGACTCAGCTGGTTAAGATGGCAAATAAAAACTTCATTTATACAATGCCTTTCATCCCATCAAAACTTTCCAACATGTTTCACAGGAGGTGGATTATTTTTAATGTGTTGTTACTGTTACTTTGGCAAATGTTACATTCAATTGGCAAATAGCAAGAACCTACAACAAAATTATGTGAAAAAAACATTAATCTGTTTTTGGTACTGGTAATCGAAAGAGGAATATTGGCACAGGTACCAGCAAAGCTTTGTTTCCAATAGTGTCATGTGATCTTTAAGTCTATTTAATATTTCTTCTAAAAGACAGCACACTTCAGACACTGCAGCATTTCATTAGCACTGCAATTAAGTCTAAATCTAGAATTTATGCTAAAGGAAGTTGGACTGAAGTAGACAACCTTCTGAGTCAGGAGTAACAGTATCAGAGTTAAGCTGACAGTGATCAAAAACAGAGATAGTAGGAACTGCAAATGCTGGAGAATCTGAGATAACAAGGTGTAGAGCCGGACGAACACAGCAGGCCAAAATTTTCTGAAGAAGGGTCTAGGCCCGAAATGTCAGCCTTCCTGTTCCTCTGATGCTGCTTGGCCTGCTGTGTTCATCCAGCTCTACACCTTGTTATATCAGAGATCAAAAACAAGTCAGAATCTGATTCAGATTCAACTCCCCCACACTCACTGTTTAGAATGAACTAGCAATGCTGCCTCACAGCACCAGGAACCTGAGTTCAATTCCATCCTTGGATGACTGTCTGTGTGGAGTTTGCATGTTCTCCCTGTGTCTGCGTAGGTTTCCTTCGAGTACCCTGGTTTCCTCCCATTGTCCAAAGATGTGTGGGTTAGGTGGATTGTCCATGATAAATTGGCAATAGTGTACAGGGATGTGCAGCCTAGGTGGATTTGTCATGGGAAATGCAGGGTTATCGGGAACGGGTTAGGTCTGTGTGGGCTCCTCTTCACAGGTTCGGTGTGGACTTAATGGGCCGAATGGTCTGCTTCCACACAGTAGGGATTCTATGATTTGGGGAAGTAATTGCTGGGTGTCAGGGTGTGTTTGTGACATCCTCCCGCAAGGAATCAATATTGTCAGCAAAGGACAAAAGAAGGGAAATGTAGGATTAAAAAGCAGAAGAATAAGCATAAATGAGAAGAACCATTTATGATGAATCCATTATATCATGTGGACCAACAGAGACCATTAGTTTAGTTCATAATCTATGAACATAATGCACATAATTCACAGCTATACAAGGTTACCACCTTCTACTTTTGAATATAAATTATTTTGTGTAAGTCACTTGCTTTTTGATATTCTGAGAACACATCTGAGGAAAACTGGGGAACAACAAAATAGCAGAAGAATTGAATACATACTTTGGTTCCATCTTCACAAAAGAGCGCACAAATAACTTCCCAGGAATGTTAGGGTGCTAGGTCTAGCAATAAGGTGGAATTGAAGGAAATTAGTAGTAGTAAAAAAAAAATGTTGCTGGGGAAATTAATGAAGTTAAAGGCTGACGAGTCATCAGAGCCTGATAATCTACATGCCAGAAAAGTAAAGAAAGTGACCCTGCAACTATTGGATACACTGGTAGTCATTATCCAAAATTCTGTAGTTCCTACAAATGGGAGAGTGGCATATGTAAGCCCATTATTTAAAAAGAGAGGGAGAGAGAGAAACAACAGAGAATTACAGAGATAGTAGGAACTGTCGATGCTGGAGTCTGAGATAAGAATGTATAGAGCTGGATGAACACAGCAGGCCAGGCAGCAGGGGAGCAGGAAAGCTGACGTTTCAGGTCTGAACAAGGGTCCAGACCCGAAATGTCACCTGCTCCTCTGATGCTGCCTGGCCTGCTGTGTTCAGAGAATTACAGATCAGTTAGCCTAACATCAGTAGCGGGGAAAATGCTGGAGTCTGTTATAGAAGATGTGACAACAGAACATTTGGAAAGCATTAATGGTATTGAGCAAAGCCAGCATGGGTTTATGAAAAGCAAATCATGCTTAAAAAATTGACTGGATTTTCTTTTAGCATGTGAATAGTGGAACCAATAAGGGAGAACCAGGAGATGTGGTATACTTGGATTATCAAAAGGTTTTTGATAAAGTCCCTCATAGGAGGTCAGTGGGCAAAGTTAAAGCTCATGGGCTAGGAGGTAATGTATCAGCTTGGAGGAAGAATTGATTGACAGATATGAAACAGAAAGTGGCAATAAATTTTTTTTTCCTGAGTGGCAGACAGTGACTACTGGGGTACTACAGTATGTGGGCCTCAGCTATTTACAATATATATATAAATGACCTAAATGAGGGACCCAAATGCAACATTTCCATGTTAACTCATGACACAAATCCTGATGGGATTGTGAGGCGTCAAGAGAATGCAATTGGGCTTCAAGATGATTTTGACATGTTGGGTCAATGGGCATACACTTGGCATTCAACGTGACTGAATGTGAAGTTTTACACTTTGGTGTGAAAAGCAGACAGGCAGAATATTATTTAAATGGTGATATACTGAGAAGTGTGGAAGGGAATCTGGTTGTCCTAGTAGACAAATTAATGAAATTAAACAGGCAGGTGCAGGCAGTTGGGAAGGCAAAGGGTATATTGGCCTTCATTGCAAGACAATTTGAGTTCAGAAATACGAATGTCTTACTGCAATTAGGACCATGCTGAGACCACATCTGGAGTATTGCACGCAGTTTTGGTCTCCTTACTGAAGAAAGGATATACTTGTCATTGAGAGAGTGCAGCAGAGGTTCACCAGGCTGATAACCAGGGAGAGCAGGACTGTCCTACAAGTAGACATTGGTTTGGCTGGGCCTGTATTCACTAGGGTTTAGTAGGATGAGAGGGGAGGGGATTCAATTCAAATATATAAAATTCTAACAGAATCTAACACTAGATCCAGGGAGGATGCTTTCCCTGGCTGTGGAGTCTTGGAGACAGTCTCATGGGTAGATATGGGGTGGATCAGTTGGGATTGAGATGAGGAAAACTCAAAGGGTAGTGA